CCACCCAAAAGAAATTGAAAAAAGCGGATATAAAATTCGTGCCTTTCGTTTTTAATGAAGAGGGGGAAATTGAGAAACGTCATTAATAACTTGCATGAAAAGGTCCGTTTTTCGGTACCGTTGCCTCCAAACAAACTCACATAAGTAGCTGTCCGCTAAAGATCGGTGTGTGCCGCATTTATTCTGCGTCTTGTAGACGTGCCGAAGAGATTCGATGGTGAGCTCCGGTCGTTGGATCCACAAAGTTTTCGGTATGATTAACCGTTTCATGGGTACAATTCATGTCAATCATCGTTTCAATTCGTTGTTAGAATGCCCACATATCGGGGATGATGAACAGGCCGGGAGCTGGATTGTGTCCATCAAAGTGGCTGCAGTTCGATCTGGCACTGCATACATGAACACCTCTTCAGTTTCCTGGCAGATCCCTATGAAAATCCACTGCTGGGGAAGAACTCGCCGCACGTGGTTTTTGTGGTGAGATATTAGCATTCCACCGATCTCGACGTGTAGACCTGGGTCGACGATAACTGTTGGAGTCGCCAGGCGCAAACTTCGCGGAGGAAGTTCTTCCGGTCAACAGCGGTAGTATAGCTAAGAGATAATTCCTCTGAGCAGAATTTGATTTTTGCCAAATTTTCGGACCAGCAATGAATGAATAGAATTACTCTCCTAAACTCCATCCTAGACCGCTCCAGCCCAGTTCCCTTTCGAAGACCGATTTCTTGCCGACACTGTCGGGCATTACACCTCCACCTGTCAGAAACAGTTGGAAGTGTCATTTGATGGCCATTGTTGCATAAGCGTTGCTGATGGATCACTCCGTTCCTTTGCAAAAAACATATTGCCGTCTCCTTGTCATGAATGAGAGCTGAAAGCGTCAGAAAGTTCATTTAAGGTTTTACATCCGAACGGGGAACTTTTTGGACAAAATGAGCCTAGAAGCGGATAAGGAATTGTTTTCATCAGAAATAGATCAAGGTTGTATGCTTACATTAAATTGTAGCTGACAAAATGTGGAGCGGGGCTTAACTTTTCGCACATGAACTTTTTGCCTATATCTTTGAAGCAACAAAAGCAAGACTAGTCAAATTAGCTAATATACACTCATCTGCAAACTAATTTGGTTCTTTCGAGAGACTCACCTGGAACCCAGCTGAAGCTCTCGTTCATGATGTTCGATGTATTTTCAGCAGCCTTATGAGTAGTACATTACAAAAAGACTAGTCAATGTTATTTCTTTCCACAACGAGGGACTTTCAGCGTTGAAATTCATTTACTTTTAAAAACAAAGCACTCTGATCCAAAACTTTGAATCTCTGAAGCCCTTGGCACCAACTTATCACATTAGTGACAGTCTCTTGACAGAAGTTGAGTCAACTTGGTCGATGATGCAGTGAAAAAAAAACAACAGAATGGTCGGATAACGCAAAATGTCTTAGCATTTATCAAATTTTCATCAATTATATCGTCTGCGATGCTGAACCCTTCTTCGAACCAACTTTGCAACCACCTACAAAGAGTCGAAAAACCCTTCAGGAGGATCAGTCAGACTGAGCAGGCGAGCCAGCCGATCGACACCACCGGTACAGGTGAAAGGAGGAAAGCCCTTCACTTCGAACGCCTTTGGTGGGAAACACAAATTAAGTAGTTACAAGACCTTAGACATATGCAGACATACGCATATGCACATAGTCTTTAGAAACCAGGATATTTACATGCGTCCTTTTGAAATATCCTGGATATTCATTGACTATTACACAATGGTGAACGGACACTGCGAAACAGGCACCGATGCTTCCGCAATCAACTCCATCTCACATCAGATGCAAGGCGGAGATTGGCCGCTAGCCGTGGACCAGACGCATGGTTTTTCAGTACCGCCCATCGTTACCAAGGTACCGGATCGTCAATTGGGGAGTAGGGCAAACTGATCGCATCACCCAGATGCGGAAATGTTATCCTGTTTTGTGATGATAATTCACGTGCGTCCAGGGCCTGCTTGTGAGCAGTGGTAACACGCTGGTCTTGCATGCCAGTTAAGCAAACCCCAACACGGCGTTGCTAATGAGCCCAGAGAAGAACGAAATTCTGGCTCATTGCTACCTCTTATGGCTGTGGACTCACCAAAGTAATTGCTTTAGCACGGTAGGACTGAATTGTACAACTAATCTTCTCACAGAGTTCTATTATTGCAACCTAAGAGCAAAATAAAATTCCCCGAGTTTCTGGTTCATTACCCAACATTTGATTTGCGTATGTGCCATCTAATTACGATCAAGGCGAGTTAACACGTCCTTTGTTATAAAATCAGGCCCAGTGGTTCTTTACAGGCGGTTAGATCTCTGTGATTCCGCAGTTGATTTCAAGTTGACTAGAGTTCATCAACCGATGGTGAGCACATGTTTCTATCTTGCTGAGACAGAGAAAGTTCAGGTGATAGCGTTCGGGGTACGATACAAAGTTGGCTGTCGAAGATTGTTCCAGAAAAATTTTACAAGACTGACTTGTGACAACGAAGACTGTCACCAACCCCACCCCGATCCTGAAAAGCTATTCGATCACATGCACTTCTCGCGGTGAAGGTTATGGGAGCTTTGACCTTCGTCCGGCAGCACTCACCAATCATAAACAGACAAGATGAGCAACTGTTTTTACGTAGTAAAACTCAACACACAAGTGGTCGTTCGTTGCTGCGTTCTGACCTGACCAGACAAATGATTCTGAAATCCAAGCACAGAAAGAAACCGATTTTGGGAATAATTCTCAGAACGTTCTGCGTGAATTCTTGTGAATCCATAGCTTTTGGATCATTCTGAATCAGAATCACCAATGAACTCGCCTGGTGTGTGAGTGTGTGTGTGTGTGTGTGTGACCATTCTACTTCCGCGGATGGGAAACCGCCCTTGATATCATTTTGCACACAAAACCAAGAGTTATTAAGAGAATAGCCATCTTCCCTTATCCCTTGTCTTAAAACCCTTGTCTTATTTTATGTCTGGAAACTGAGCCACAGTCAGTAAATTTACGATTAATTTTTTGAAGAACACAATTTTGGTTTTCCGTGATATATTTCAACCACACGCCATAAACATGGGCATAACAAAGCTGAAATTTAAGTCATAATCACGGAGAATAGCACAGAATTGCTTCAGAAAAACACCGCCCTCAATAGAATGACAACAGAAGGCGACACTGTCAAACAGGAAGCCTAAAACGCCGCTGAAATCGAAATGTAGTTATTCTCTTTGTCATGTGGAAGTCTGGCTCCAAGCAAAGAACATCAGTTTCTGCTTAATGGATAATCCTTTGAAAAATCGGCACTTAAGACAACACAAAGACAGTCGATGCCGCTGAAGGTGGTTGGTGCCAAACAATGCATAAACTTATGTTGACAAGCTTAGTGAAAGGGAAAACGGGTTCAATCGACTTCGATTACTTCCCAATGCCGTGCTATACGATAGACACTGCCTTGTTGGTGATTGACGGAACGTCGAGACAGCAACACAGTTTTGGTTGAAAGCAAATTTTAGTCTGGGGACAATCTCAAAAGCTAAATAAATTGTCCACAGTAGTAGCTGCTTCGGTGTGTCAGAGTTCGCGCGTGTGCGTGTCCGTTCTTCGTTTACCATCGATCTGGCCTGTGACTTGAGTGGCTGATTGGGTGCGTGTCCGACTAGATTTGCTCACGTGAGCGTTGTATGACGACTGGATACGTGACTCAGTTGTTTGCCCACCCGCCACGAAAACGGACCACTTGGCTGCGTGTACACAATACACTCGTGTCAGTACTTACGTGTTTTTCTGACCCACTGTGAACCACAACACCCACAGAGACAACCATATTAAATTTGAGCACACAGCATCACCATCATCATCATCATCATGGTCAATGTCATTCAGATCTCGCCAACAATCACTGACACAAAAACAACCTTGCCTGTCGACGTAATATTAGTCTTTCTGACCCACTGTGAACTACAATATCCACAGAGAACCATATTAAATTTGAGCACACAAACTCCAGATTCGAGAGACGTTTTAGGAATTCTACTTGTCCGTCGATTTGAGATGACCACCGACAGATCGTCTTTAGCGTCAGTAGTGTTGTGAACCACAGTTTTCCTAATACCGTGAACCCGAGTCTGGATGGACGCCCGATAGCCTGATGCGCTTAGTCAAACCAGAAGAGCCAATGAACGGCAAATCAGCTGATCTATTGAACACCAACGCGTACAGGCGTGTCATGTGCGACCGAAAATGGGCCGTCTGTAAAGCTTACGTGAAAAGTTCAAGGCGGGCAAAAATATGATACTAAAAATAGAACCCATCTGCCAAGGGCAAGTGAAGAACAACCAATTAAATGTCTCAACAAAAACGGTTATTCCATTGGCAGTTGTGTAGTTCAGCTACGTTCGGTTGGTTATCCTAATAAGTAGTATGTTTATCCTCCTTGAATACCCTTGTCCTATCGAATAGCTACATACTTAGGAATATCTAGATGTAATGGAAATGACAAAACCTGTGCATTTCGTGGGTTTTAGTATAAGCGGCAACAAGAGACGGAAATCATTCAAATGTATTGGGGAATATTGTCTGTCGGATAAACAGAGCATGTGTACAGTAAGAGCGAAGCACCCTTGCGTAAACCCCATAAACAAGCTACTGAAATTACAACGGTCAAAACCCGCTTGTTACCATGATTCCCTGACGAGACCAAGAATCAAGGTATAGCAATCATTTTGAATGTTGACATAATGGCACTCCACCATTATCACCATCCTCCACTGCTCTATCATCATCATCGTCATCATCATCATCATCATCTTTGCCATCCTCACAACCATTCACTTTGAACAAATAGCGGTACCAAAACTGTTCAGGTTTGAGAAACTTCTGAAACGACAGTTTGTTTACCCCACCACCAGACGCGGTCAACAGATGACATTTTCATGCGATTTATTCTACACAGAATGTTTTGTACAGCTGAGTAAAGCGTCTCAATAATCATCGTAATCTTTCAGTTTTTTCTGGCGTTCCTCCTCTTCTTTTAGTCCGCGAACATGCACACCAATGATCAGTTCGTAGAGTAACACTCCGAGTATGGCACCGATATACGGACCAACAATCGGGACCCAGCAATACGAGTCATACGAAGTGAATGCGTCTTTGTATCCTGAAATGACAGACAGAGGGAGAGGGAGAGTAGTGTAAACTTGAAACTTCCTAACTTCAGCTCTGACACATTTTCTCCGCCTAGCTGCAATTCCACACAAAAAAGAACTAGGGCTGAAATACCACCAGTGTTTCCGGGCTTAGAGTGGAGCCATCGAGAAACCTGATTTGGTTTTGTTTGAACCATAAACCTTCCGGTCAGTCGCGTCTTCACTACTAGACGTTTTCGAGCTCACTTTGAAATGAATCCACTAGTAATACCATCGAACTCAAGTTTTACATGCAAGTGTGGAGTGTGCAAAACTCAGTGAGATGGAATATTTACGGCCCCACGTCATCAGATGATAAGTCCTCAAGCTGTATTGGATAAGTTGTTATGTGTAGTTTTATGTGGCTTCTGTTCGCAGTATCTCAAATATAGCTTGATCTCTATTCCAGAGAGAGAAAGAGAGATCTAATGCCTTTTGCAAACACATTTGGCTTGGACTCGGTAAGTGACTGTTCGGTAGAGAGCCATTCAGCAAAATCTGGGAATATGAAAGCCACAAAATATCTTGATGAAGGATAGGACCTACCAACTGTAAGGGCCGCGAGACGTGGGCCAAAATCTCGAGCAGGATTCAAAGCGGCTCCCGCGTTAACACCAAGTGCCCCGACGAGCCCACCGACTAGAAATCCAATGTAGATCGGAATCACATGTCCGGGGATATTGAAGTTGTATTTGTCTCCTATCGCCAGTACCATCACACCTAGCAATGCAGTCCCAATGATTTGATCGTAGAATCCTGGGAGGTTTCCTGCGTTAGATGGCCCAGTGCAAAATATGCCCAGCGTCTTCGTCGTTAGACCAGGATCTAGGAGTTGAATGTTCACCTGGTAGTTGCAATACACGATCAGACCACCCAGAAAAGCCCCAATCAGTTCGGCGATTGTGGCGACTGGGACCGCGATCCAAGGAACTTTACCATTGAACGCGAAAGCCAGTGCGACTGCCGGGTTCAACAAACCGTATCCCATAGTACCGCTGGTAAATATTCCAAATATCACGGCCAATCCCCAACCGAAGCTGACTGAAAAGGCCGAGACGTTGCTGGCAAATACCGACTGTGCGACCACCGAATCCCCGAAAATGATCAAAATCATTGTTCCGGCCAATTCGCCGATAAACACTCGAAGTAGCGGGAAGCGGGTCAAGCGCATCTTGTCTGCCCATCGGTGTATTGTGTTCTCATATTTGCTCTGACAACTGACTTTTTCGTATTCATAAGATGAAAGACTACCAGCCATTGTATTATGAATTGCGCTGTGAATACAATCACTACTGCAAGCAGTCATTTTATAAAGTAGTGCTGACAGGTATTTTCATACAACTTGTGTGTTCAGTCTGACAGGCCCGAGTTTTTGTCACCTATGGAATTTGCGTCTTGTACTTCACATGAATTATGATCACATGACTAATGAACCACACCCGTGTGATCGTATCTTGTCCAGTCTTTTGCCAGAAATCCTTTCTACTCATTGACTGATCATTTCCACTTCATCATTATCGAAGAAACCTCCAGACGGGCGCCAAGTTGATGAGGATGGTGGTGAAGATGACCACGGTGCATTTCGCATCAGCTAGCAAACTACTTGACAGTCACCTGATCGGTAATCAACATCAACAAAATGTACTGGACAAATTAAGTGAAGTTGGTTGAGGGGACATGGAAATGTCCGCTACACTTATTCGGTTCAATCGCCGAACCACCAGAATATGCATCTCAATGTGTCCAAGAATGCTCCATTTAATCTCCTTGGTGTCTCGAATGTTGACCAGTGTCCATAGTCCAAATACTGCGTTGAAAGTGAGACCTGCTCCGCTTGTTTGAACTCCTTTGAGCAGTCGACTGCTTGCAACAGAACTGGACTGATCCGTCGGAATTCATCAGAAACGACCCGAACTCGGAAACCTATTCATCATCTTTGAGTAGGCTGCAACAAACCACAGTAGAGACACTATCTTTTACCAAAAACATTCTAAACGCTTTTTGGTGGTAAGTGCGCAGTTGCTACGTTGAATCCAGATGATTGGATCAATCCAACCAACAGACCACCGAGCANGCCATCTTTGTGGTGTGGATATTCTCTGAAATGACAACGCTGGTCGCTCCGTCTGTGCACTAATCGCTGTCTGTGACGAAATTACAGAGAGTCTCGAAATCGCAGTATCCCAGCCCTTGTGGCCTTTCAGGTAGCATGGAAGCTACGCACCGAAAGGCTGCTACAGTTTAACGACGATTAACACTTATTTCTACAAAGCCTGGACTATCCAACTACCCACAAAGTGGAAGCTTTCTTTGGAAATATCTCAGAGTCCTGCAATATGTGGGCATCGTCGGACTGCCTGATTGATTTCTCCCAGGTAATTTTACCTCGCGACTGAAAACGCACTTCCCACATTCGAAATGAAGGGTAATTACATCCCAACTAGTCAGGAAATCAGAACCACTTCGGTCGGTTGCTTCAGGAAAAAAGTACATCGACAGGATCACTTCCAGTTTTCCTTAATATTTGCGTCCTCGCGCAAGAATTGGCTTCTGCTTGTCAACGAAAGCAAACGTCTACAACGCACGGTGGTGACAAATGCTGTTTTTTTTTCAGATATCGGTTGGGAATGGAGCACTGAAGAAACAAAAACCGTGGCTACATATCGGATTGGCGCAGCTGGCGACTAGTTGTTACCGAAAAATCGGTTACCCGTCCAACTGAAGCTTTGATTCGGTTGGGCCAAATACTCTGGTTCCGTTTTTTTACGCGTACGGAGAGCCGCCAAGCTATATCTGCCTGATGTCCACAGTCCAGTGCCTGGTGCCGAAAAAAGATTTGCCGATAAAGAACACAACAGCTATACTGCGAACAAGGTAGTTCGAGTGCGAAGGTGAAGCGGCATCGTGCTATTAATTGAGGGAACATTGTCTCACCTTGATTCAGGGCTGTCTAGCACTGACCTTGACTCAGAATTGTCTGATCGGCGATTGGGGGAGAGTGAGGGTCTCAGAACGTCTCAGGTATTCTGGGATAATCTCCAGTAATCTGACCTTTCTGAGACGCCACATCACCAATTATAGATACCCACCGTCACGGTAATGCCACGTAGCACGCTTTTACTTGTTCCAAAGTATCACACCACTATGTTTTGTGGTTTTATTCGATTTCTGTGCTTGATATCACGCTGCATCCTGCAGACTCCAATGGCTTGAACTCAGCTACTTTAAGTTCAACCTTGTCAGAATGGCTGACTGGGAGCCGTTTGATTGAGACCGTAAGACATTTCTCCCAGTCGACAAACACTTCCATAGTTAAGGAAGCCGCGATGCCTTCGTTCATAAAGTAAGGACGAGTTAGAAGGAATGGTTCTATCAAACCACACGGATCGATCGTTCAACGGTTGGCATTGATCGCCGGCTGAGTTGAGGGCATTAGCAACAGATCATTAGTTCCAGACTTAGCAGTCACCAGCTCCATCAAATTCCTCTGCCACTTGAAACCAGAAGCGCTCGATCCTTATCGAATAAGAATGGAAGAAACCAGCCAGAAGGGCGAATAGCTTCTGTTACAACTGCTATGTTCACTGTGACCCTACCGGCTGATCAAGGAACGATAGTGAAGGCCGGCTGTGGTTGTACTTTCTACTGATGTGTTGTGACAGTCGCACTTGCATGTCTTCAGAATCAAAGTGAATAAACGGAAGTGTTCCAAATTAACAATGATAACCCTCCGATTCCGAACATCGAGGATATGATGTGAGTATGCTCCCGCGAAGTCACGTTCAAGCGATGAAGAGAACGAATTCCATGATGAGTTGTCAGGTCTGGTCATCCACACCCCTAAGTGACTTTGTGATTCCGTTGGGCAATTGCAGTTCTGTGATTCGCAAGAACTGGAATTCCTGAGGAAAAAATGATTACATCTGGAATCGAACCACTGAACGACAACGATGGAAAACTGTTGACAAGTGTACAATTCGCTAGTAAACACGTGGTTCCGGGTACGTCGGACAGGGCCTGACGCATAGACCCATCCAAGAATTGGGCACGGAAAACTTATCGACTATATTGTCGTGTACCAGAGTTCTCGGTAATCTTTTGATAAGGGAGCTGATGCATGGATTCTAATGCAGTACCGGCCACTCTCCGATATGTGCGAAAACACACTGCCAATTTGTACGCCAAGAAGAAACTCATCCAAGCGGTGTACAAGAAAACTGGGAAGTAAAAATAAAGAACAGTGTAAGATCCGGACGGTTAAGGATCTCACAGGACGATTGCGACTATTAGATTATACGCAGTTCGTAGCCAGTAGTCAATAGGAGCAGACAGACGTGGGGCAGTAGATGATATATTGAAGACTGACAGGAACTGGTTCTACAGAAAAACGGATTAGTAAGCATCATGAATTAAGAAAACGTACAATCAACAATGACGCAATCTGCAGGAGCGGGAAGTAGTCACTGTCACAGCACGGATTTCTATAGGGGTAACAAGAAGTAAGTACCAAACGATGTACAAACATACATATCGAGGCAGTCTGACAGTGTGAGTTGGCCGTAACGGCGCAGGAGTCAGTACCTTCGGGATGTGAAGCACTGTCTTTCGGTCGGCGTCGACACAGCCGCTCGTGTCGCGTGACAGGTCAGATTGCGCGGTTTCGTTCGTTTAAAACAAAGCTCAGCAAGGGATAGCCCTTGCTGAGCTTTGTTGGGTGTCCGGTTGGTGTAGTCGGTGACGTGTTCGCCTGCTGTCCGCAGACTCTGGGTTCGATACCCGGTTGGCACGCTTTTCGGTCGGAGTGGACGCTCGTGAATAGGTGCAACCCAGACGAACTTGCAAGCAATGATGGACGGGCACATTAAGTATTGGCATCAGTTACTAAGGCATAAGCAGACCCTAAGCCGGGACGAAACAGGGGAAAAACGACAAAGAAACGAAACGGTGTCACAATAAACAGATGCGAGTCACGTTACTCATGAGTAGTCAGAAAAAAAAAGGAAAGTTACCGCTGGTCACCGTTGATTCCCAGGCGGAATCAACAAACAGACCATGAAAGTTTTGCAACCTACTGGCGGGAAGGCTAGTGGAATGCTAGTAGTCCGAATTACGTCCCATTTCGAATACAACTCTAAGCGTTAGCCGACTCGAAGTTCAGTAACGAAAGTCAGCAGGATACTTGAGAAACTCGTTATGACCAATCACCACTTATGTATAGACACTAAATATTGCATGAAGTTAGCTTCATCTCCCTTTAGGAAAACCATGCAAGTAGTTTGGCCGAACTACCAGGATACAATGCTTTGCAACCCCAAAGAGTTCAAACACGTAGGTCTTAAGTGGTCAAAACGTCCATCATATTTCCGAACATTCCAAAGATGGGCTTGTTTGGATCTTGGCTACCATGGCTCTGATGCGCCTTGGCAGTTCCATCATCATCATCATCATCATCATCATCATCATCATCATCATCATCATCATCATCATCATCATCATCATCATCATCATCATCATCATCAT